TTGGGCAGTATTTCAATTCTACCCAAGGAAACATGGCAGCACATTGCTGGCCACCTTGACTGGCCAGCTCCTTGAACAGGGACTCTCTCTCCCATGTGTACAGTCTGTGCCTCCTACTCTTGTCACCCACTGGCTTGCGAGGGGCAGGAGTCATGGGCTCCACTGTACAGGCAGAGAAACACTCTCAAGTAGGCAAATTGATCCAGTGCAAGGATTTGGGTTTTCTCCCTTTGTCCACTTCACTTTAAAACATGTTGTTTCCAACGCATTAAATGCATCCAGGCTCTCAATGTTGGGCATGGTTTTGAAGTCTCAAAGATATTCCATTCACTTGCTAACTAGAGCCATCAGCGTGTCACTTCTTGCGTTTTTTGAGGTTCCTGGGTTCTGTTAGGGTAATGATCACGATTTGTGACTCAAACACTTTTGGGCAAAGAAAGGCAGATGTTTATTGAATGTGTATTACTCGTTCATTCTCTAAACTCTTAAGTTCCATGAGAATGGGAATTACATCTTTTGTTTTAATTAAACATTTTACTTAGAATATTTCTTTTTTTTAATGTATTTGGCACAGGATCTCACTACACACCTCAGACTCGTAGTGATCCTCCTGTTTTCAGTCTTCCCCAGTTCTGGGATTACAAGTGTGTGCCACCATGCCAGCTCTTAGTGGCCAGCTCAGAATGCCCAGGGGCAGGGCTGGTGCAGCATGTGGTGCTGGATATCAAACCCCAGTTCCTGCACTTGCCTAAGTTTGTGCTTAGTCTGTTGAGCTATCTCACCAGCCCTCTTAGACTATTTCTATACTTAAAAAAAAAAAAAAGTAGCAAAGACAACACAGACACCCTGTGGAGAAGCTCCCCCCACTTCTCTACCAGTGACCAGTGCACACCACACTTTGCATTCCAGAACGTGGTCAGGCCTTCCTGTACGTGAGGTCTGGTCACTGAAATCTTACTGCAAACTCCATGTTGCTGTTTTCTCCATCTTCCACCTTCCCTAGTATTAGGAAATGAACCCCACATGGAGCTACTGAGCTAGATTCATGGTCCTTTTATCTTGCTTTTGTTTTGAGATAAGGTCTCGCTAAGTCACTAAGTTACCCAGGCTGGGCTCAAACTTGTCAACTTCCTGGCTCAGCCTTCCAGGATGCTGGGATTATAGACATACAGAACCATTTTTAAAAACTCACTCTGACTTCAGAGCTTAGTCATTTCTTCCAGCCCATCATACTCAGCATGTTGGAAAAAACTCCGTGCGGGTGGGCTTAGGTCCCACTGCACACTCTCTCCTTTGTGGGCCTCACGAGGTGTCTGCTACCTTAGGGTGGACAGTCTCGTTGGCCTGCATTACCCTGTACCATGGAGCCATTTCAGTTTTTCCTGTTCACCCGGGAGGTGAGGACAGATCAGGGATGACTTAGCAGAACTGGTGTGAACAGTTGCCTTCCCTTGACAGGGAAGACAGGCAGCCTGCTGGCTGCTGCACAGCACCTGTGCTCATCCTCCATATTGGGCCAGCCTGGCAGTTGCTTCTGAAATCCGACTCCTGGTGCCATAGGGATGACCTTCGGTTTCCTTCCCAGCATTCACTTGTCCTCACGCTGCTCCCATGAACCTCAGTCGAAGAGTGGACAGTGTGGGTAGACACGCTGGTCGTGAGTTAGCCATGCTAATTAATCATGCTGTAATTAATCTTACTGGCATGGTCAGAGAGATGAAGCACAATAAGAGGTAAGTAAAGTTAGAGTAAATAATTTTTTAAATGGTGAATGCTTAAGCTCTCGACAGAGGGATTTTTCAGGACTGGGAAGTTGCTATAATTGTTTAACGGGTTAGGGTTTTTAAAAGATTAGAGCGTAAGGCTCTGGTGTATTCAGAGTCAAGGAAGACTGTTTACCAAGGCAATAGCAGCAAAGGAAAGATTGGAAGAAGCAACTGGGCAAATGAGTTTGTCATGTGAGGGCTCCTGAGGGTTTTTCCAGCCTGCTGCTCTTTGGAAGTGTAAAGGGTAACTCTAGAAATGTTTGTAGTGATGCCTGTAGACAGAACAGGAACCCAGTAAGTGATAGGGCTTAGTGCTGTTGCTAGGGTGGGGAAAATGAAAGGGGAGATTCGAAGACATGGCCCAAAACAGGGAGGGCTCCCAGGGCTAAGTATGCGGGCCTCAATTTGCAGAAGAAGCTACTGGAAAAATGGGAATAATTGGTGTTTCCTACATATAGCAACTATTTATGGACTGCCTCTTCCGTGCCAAGTACTATTCTAGGGTCAACTGTAGCCATTCACTTTGGGCTCCTGTGCACATTATTCGTAAATACTCGGTTGTTTTAGTTACGTGCAGCACGGCAGCGGCATAGCAGGGACCATACGGCAACAATTTCCACTGTTTGGTGAAGCAGCATAGAGCAGTGTTCAGGAGCACTGACTGGGGCTGGCCAGATAGCTCCGCAGACCAAAGAACCTGGTCCGGCCGTGCCCAGTGGCCACGGTTCAATCCCCGGCTGCGCCATGCCGGCCCTGCCCCCAGGGCATGCTGAGATGGTGACTGAGACTGGGCATGTGACACGTGCCTGTAATTCTAGTGTTTGGGAGGCTAAAATCAGAATCACTGAGTCTGATCTGTGTAGTAAGACTCTGTACACCCTGTAGACTCTAAATTCATTAAAAAAAAAAAAAAAAAAAAAAAAGCACTGACTCTGAGGCCAGACTGTCCAGATCCCAAAACTCCACACCACTGCCTCTGAACTGTGACTTGGGGCATGAGACTTGTGCTCTTAGCTGTGTTCTCTGTAAGACAATATTGTAAGGACTGCACTAACATAAATATATGAAGGGCTGATAAGGACAGTACTTGGCACATGGAGAATGTTTATGGTAGTATGTTTGCTATTGTCATTCTAGCAGAATGGATGCTCTTTACATGTTCCATATTACTATTGCTGTGAGGGGCTGGCGAGATAGCTCGGTGGGCTAAAGCGCCTGCTTACACAAGCTTAGGCAAGCTCAGGGACCACAGTTAGATCCCCAGCACCACATGCCATGCCAGTCCTGCCCCCAGGGCAGGCTGAACTGACCACAATCTGGGCGTGGTGGCTCATGTTTATAATCCCAGCGCTGGGGAGGCTGAAAACAGGAAGATCACTTTGAGTCCAAACTGCATAGTGAGACCTGTAACAACCAAATACATTAAAAAATAAATGAATAAAGACTAAGGGCTGGCCAAATAACTCAACAGATTAAAGTGCCTGCAAGCAGGTGCAGGGGCCAGGGCTTCGATCCCTCGGTCTATGGTGCTGGTCCGACCCCCGGGGTGCAATTGAGACTGGGCATAGTGGCGTGCGCCTGTAATCTCAGCTTTTGGGAGGCTGTAAACAGGCAGATCACTATGAGTCTGATCTAGTAGTGAGACCCTGAACACCCTGTAGACCCTTCCCTAAAATAAAAAAAAAAGCATTGACCCTTAAAAAAATATTGTTCTGAAAGGAGCACTGGACTTGGTAGAAGCAGCCTATCTTTGTTTCTCATCTGGACGGTGGGAAACATTGTTTTACCTGCCTGTTCAGTAAACAGAGTTTTTGATAAGAATATGAGGGATGGGGGCTGGGGAGATGGCTCAGTGGTCTAAAGCACCTACTTAGAACAAGCTCAGCAAAGCACAGGGACCGCGGTTCAATCTCCCAGCACCACATGCCAGCCAGCCCCGCCCCCTGGTGGGCTGAGCTGGCCACACACACACACACACACACACACACACACACAAATAAATAAATAAAATTAAAAAAAAAAAAAAAAGAATATGAGGGATGTTAAAGCTCCTTGAAAAGGACCGTGAAGGCGCCATTCATGGGTCTGGCTCTATTCCTTGCATTTATTTACTTGTTAATGCGTGCTAGTACTAAATCCAGGGTTTTGCACATACCAAGCCTGTACTCTACTACCGAGCTATCCTCCAGCTCTGTTGCTTTTATGGCTACTTAATTTTTGCAGTGCTGATTGAACCAGAGCGTTGCCGCTGATCACAGCCCCAGCCCTTGTTTTTATTTTGTATTTTACAACAGGATGTCCTCAATTGCTCAAGCGCGGCTTGAACTTGCCAGTCTCCTGTCACAGCCTCCCAGAATGCAAGGATTATAGGCATGCACTACCATGCCCAGTTTATATTTTGACTCTGTTCAGACCTGTTTGTGCTAGAAAGAACTGGTATTGTTTTTGCAGATTAGCTTCCTGGCAGGGGCCTGAGGAGCAAGGCCTGCCCTATGTTCTTCTTCAGGGCCAAGTCAGACCCCTTGAGTCTCAGGCCTCGCTGCTCCTTTACTTAAGGAAATAAAGTCTCCCCTTTCTTAGTGAGAGCGGAGATCTGCCTCTTTTACTCCATCTGCTGTTTGCACCTACCTGGGCTTTTAAGGGTATTCACATCTTTCCAGAATTATGTGAAAGAAACCTTGACGTGGAATCCAGGGCTGGAGATTCAGCTCTTAAGTTATCTGCAGTCTAGTTACTGTGGATAACGTGGCAATTTTAAGAGAGGGCTGGCTGCTGGTGTTCGTGGCTAAGGTTTGTCTGACATCAGAGAAGCAGAAATTGGGTTTCAATTTTTTAAATTCAGGAGTCTGAGGTAAAAATACCACTCATCTTGTACAATAACTCTTGTGGTATTATAAACTACAAAAATCATGCATCTGGTGGTAGCCGTAGCCCAAAAAGTGAAGGTAAGTGGCACTTGGTGAGTGCGACCGTACGGTGATTTGAAGTAGGCACTGTCTCCACACTATCCTCCAGCTCTCGTTGCCTTCCCAGAAGCACAGACGGAGGCTGAGGCCTGTGGGTCAGGAGAGGAGATTCTCATTAAGTGGATCGTTCGGTTGGCATGGAGGCAGTTATGGCTTGTGTCTAGCCATCCTCTTGAATGTTGTAGCCAGTAGCTTGTTGAACAATGCGTCTGTGTTTTCACAGATTCCAATCTGACTTACTTCCCAATTTCTCTTTCTTCTGGTTCAGAGGTCTTCATCAGCTGAGAGTCGAAGACCTGCGCAGCCACCCGAGGACAAGAAGTGGGGAGATTCTTCCAGAAGCCGTGAGAGTGGGGACTTGTCCAGGTAGGGGGTCAATATGGAGGGTGGACACAGTCCAAGGGCTGGCCAGCTCATGGCCTGTCTTAGCGTTTGCTTTGCTTGTTTTGCTTGGGGCAATTTATCATTAAACACGTGAGGTGATCCTCACTGCTGAGATGTTGCAGCAGTTGTTCATACCCTTCTTCGTGATGGACGAAGCTTGCAGTGGTTGGAAAAGTCATGTTTTTCCTGCCCTAAGATTAAATAAGTAATTATAGACTTCCATTAAAGTGGCACTCCAGATTATTTAGCTTCATAGTCAGCTGAAAATAAGAAAGATCAAAGCTCCCAAGGGGCTTAATCTGAGGGCAAGCAGGGTATGAGTTCGAGAAAGCCGGCCATCATAGGCACTGGACCAGGATGCAGGATTCAGGCAGGAATTCCTTGAGCAAGGAGCCTGGTGGATTAATTCCAGAAGTCTATAAGACCACATGGTGGCAGTGGAATAGATGTGGCTCATCCAGCTGTGGTTCTTGAATATGAGCCTCAGCCAGGCCCCGATTCCTGCCACGGCTCTCTCCTGGGACTCCCACCAGCGTCCTACATCCGGTTTTAGGGGTCTTCATGAGCAGAGGGCCAGTGGGCTTGAGAACTCCATCCCTAGCAGGGCTACGGGCCAGGCACATCAGGGCCAACTGGTAACTATTTGTGGGTTTAACTCATGAATAGGTCTCAGATCTGGTTAAACAACCCTTTTGAAGAATAAAGCCCAGCTTCAAGGGGCCTATAATTATAGGCATTAAGAAAAAAGCTAGAGCTCCACACAACAAAAATTAAATAATAAGCCCCTTGTCATATTGAAATTTTGAGTTAGTCACAGCTTGCTTCATATTAGCTTTTCAAAACCTTCAGATTCAAAATGACTTCCCCCCAACTTTGGGGACCTAACAGCGACCCCTGGTGGCAGATGTTGCCATGCCAGGGGTTATCGTTTTGGGGTGGCTTGGGTTAATGTTGTATCCAGAGGAAATACTTAGACCCCTTTGGCATGAATCTTAGGGAAATAGTGATCAAGTGGGACAGGGTGTTCTTTTTGGTTATGTCACAGAATGGTGCCCTGAACAGCACCTGTGACCCCTGTCCTCTCCTACCAGTAGGGTCCCTTGCCTCCCCAGATCTCTTTAGCGGTACTTGCTCATGAACACTTTACCTGGGTACTAGGACAAAGGTTTTTGCATTCAGTTTTAACCAGACCTCTGCATTGGTTCTGACAATCATAAAACTAACAGATGAATTGATTTCTTTCTGGAGTCCTTTGCAAAGGAAGTCACTGCTGGCTCAGACCCAAAGTCTTGCTCTTCCCCTCCATCTTTGTGGGGTCCTGTGACCTCATAGGAGTCTAGGGGTTCAGGGTCTGTATTACAGCTACACTAAAGAATAACAGCAGCTCAAAGGTCTTTTGTTGCTTGTTCCTCAACTGTAGTCAATTATTCTTTTCCCTTGAAGAACTGCTTCTCATTGACATGCAAATTGAGAACAAAAGAAGGGCCTTCCAAGAGCAAGCCCAAAGAGGCAACTTCCTATTCACAGTGGAAAACATGTTTGTCCTCAGTGAATGTGTATGCGTCCACAGCGCGGGGCTGGTGCTAACTAACTCAGATGCTATTGAGAACAACCCGCCTCCCTCCTCTCCAGAAACTTGCAATGAATCTGTCCTGAAGTTGAGATGTTTGCAGAAGGAGAGATGGGGCACAAGCTCCAGTGAGTCATGCCAACCTTGGCATTAACTAAAAATAACAAGAGCATTTAATACTCATTCTGCATCTGGGTCTCAGACATCATAACAAGTGCTCTGTGCATACAAAGTAAAATTTTGCTTTTTTTGAAACGAATCAGTTCTGCTTTGAGTCCTTACTCTCCCAGGCTGTTGGGAATAACCCTGGCAGCTGTGCTGGGGTCTCTCTCTCTTAAAGCTTGATGTACTGATGCTGTCATCTGGCTCCTCCTCACCCCCAGGGCCACCCTTGAGATGCCTGTTGGTCCAGCCACCCTGCCTGTCTATCAGCCCCTGTGTCTGGGCTGCTTCCCTGCCATGCTTGGTGCATGGAAATCTTGGCTGAGGCTGGGAGCCCCGGGCCTTCCCATTGGTGCTTTTCCTTCCCTGGTCATCCCCGGCTGACACTGTCAGGAAGGCAATGGGATGCTTGAATGTCCCCACTGTTCAGGGCCCTTTCTCTGTTCTGTCACCCTCAAATGCATTCATCTTCTCTGGTGGCTTCATTGCCCAGCCAGCGATTACTCTCCAAAGACATAGTTTTTACAAAAGGTAGGAAGAGTTACCAACCTCGGACTTTAAGAGAGAGAGACCCCAGCACAGCTGCCAGGGTTATTCCCAACAGCCTGGGAGAGTAAGGACTCATGAAAACACCAGAGACAGGAACATAGGAGAGCCCACCAGGCTGCCAGCTTGCTGTGGGGACATTGGAAGAACACGGCCAGCCCTCTGTATTCTTGGGTTTTGTATCTGTGTCTTTGGATGATCATGGATCAAAAATATTTGGGGGAAAATTGCATCTGTAGTGAACATATACAGACCTTTTTCTTTGCAATATACCCTAGTCAGTACAGTACAGAAACTATTTAGGTTGTGTTATTAAAAGTAACAGGGAGATGGTTTAAAGTATTGGGCAGAATTCAGCAAAGTAATCCAATATAGTCCAGTAGTCCATAATAGTAGAGGGTTAGCCACAGGACTGGCAATGTCAGAAGTTGTTGGCTTGAGCCTTTTACAGCTCAGTATATTAATATGGCTTTACTTTTTATACTTCATTTTTATACTTTTCTGCTGGATGGTTAAGGCCAAGATAAAGTAAGACCTATGTAACAAAAAATGTAACTTTTGTATCTGACAAGGTTAGTCAAATCCTCTCAGGATTTACCCTGAAGCCCTGTAATGTAGTTTGTAGATCCTTCGTCAGTGTGAGCCATGTGGATGAGTCACGGCCATTGCTTGACCAATTTGCTCTCTGTGAAAGCCTGAGAGAGTGTTTTCTCTCCAGGTGACTCTCCTTAGGCACACTCTATATCATCAATCACTTTCCTCTGTGGCCTCATAATCTCCTTGATCAGAAAATTTGGGACACCTACACTATTTGAATGGTAATGGAATACCCATCTCTGACAAAAGCAAATAAAAAAGGGGGATATAAATGAAGGACCATTTTGTAGTGAAAAAAATATATATATATGTATACACAAAATAGGATAGATATACAGCAACTTTCTCTTAGTTCAGTGAGAAGAAAGATTTGTACTAATAGTGTTTAGACAAGATATCATATCTGCATCTTGTACTATGAATAACTACTACAAGGACAACAATATATACCCTGTTTTGAAACTGTCTCAATGCTATTTTTTTCTCAATAAAATTAATAAAAAGTATTGGGCAGATGTGCTGTGCTAATGTGTACAAGGAACTTGAGCATCTTAAATTTTTTGGAGGGGAGGAGTGGCCCTAGAACCAATATCCAGCCCAAACCAAGGGACCACTGAATGGAGAGTCGGAAGTTTCTAAGAGTTGTGCCCGTGCCAGTCAGTGCTGCACTCCGCAGATGAGGAGACAGAGGCTCACAGCATTATGCGGTCTTTAGCAGGAGAGAGGCCATTTTTTGCCTCAATGCTCTTCTCTCCCTCTAACTTGTACGAGACTCTGGGCTTCACACACCCCCAAAAGCAGTGAATTCTCCAAATAGAAGCCTGGGGTTTCAGCAGCTCAACTGCCCTGCTTCCTGGTTGCCACATAGTGTCGCTGTTGTCATTTAGTCCTTTATGGTTCAACTCCTTCAGAAGCTGGGGACCTGGCTCCCTGAAGCCACCCTGGCAGGCTCTGAATTCTTCAGGGACAATGACACCACCCTCCCAGGGTTAAAGTTAACCTCAGGTGACGCTTCTGCTCAGCAATGTCCACCCCTGCGTGACTGCCCCGGGTGCCTGCGCCTGGACAGATCCCAGGCCTGGTGTCTGTTGGAACCCTTCCCTCTCTGGGTATGAGCAAGCAGGGATAGGATAGTCTTTTCCTTTAACTCCCCCCCCAACACCACCCATCTTACCATACAGTCTTTCCCCTGTACAATGGAATACTAAGTTGCACTGGAGGAAGTGACTGTTTCTGTAGGTGAAAGATTGTCAGACACAGGCCACTTCCTGTGCTCCCATGTCACATGCGGAAGTGTGGTCATCTTCCAAGGAAGGCCCAGGCTGTAAAGGTGACTGGCTTTTCTCAGGGACGAACTCCAAGTTTTCCCTCAGGGACTTTCAGTCACTTTTGTTACTAAGGGGGACACCCCACTGCCTGGGCCCTAGAGTCTCAACCCCAACCCAGCAGTGTTCAATTGCTCATGAACATCAGGGCCACCTGCAAAGCTGCTCAGACACCCCTTTCCCTGGAGTGTAATCTGGTAGTTCTGGGGCAAGGCCTTGGAATGAGCATTCCTAACAAATTTCCTAAGGGGAAATTCTTAACAGGTGATGCCAGTGCTGTGGGCCCAGATAGGGCCACACGTTCTGACGACTGGGGTGGGTGCCATACAACTGTGTGGTGCCCCAGCTTGGTGTCACTGAGGTTCAGATCACGAGGCCTTTCCCAAGGACTGGGCTAGAGAAAAAAGAGTCTCCTGGCAGTAGGGGAAGCCCAGGGAAAGGGGCACGCACCATCAGAGGTCAGCCCAGTGGAAGCCGAGCCGGACGTGGGAACAGAGGAGGCTGGTGGGTGCTTACTGAAAGTGAAGCTCTGGGCCTAATGGGGGAGGTCCTGGGGGTCAGGCGGCTGGGCTTTTACCCTGCAGCAGCAGGAGGCCAAGGCAGTGCTGTGCTTTGTTTTTAATTAAGCATAGAGACAAAGAAAGAGGTCGGAAGAGGAATTTCGAAAGCAGTGCGTAATGTCCTTGTAGTGCAGGGACAGTGGCCACGAGACAGTTCAAGGCAGGCAGGACCCAGGAACCCTGGTGACTCTCTGGAGCTAGGTGGAAAAGGCAGAGTCAAAG